GCCAACTGCCTCACGGTCATCCAATACCTCAGTCAGAGCTTACAGACGCGCTGACTTGCAAAGACTTGACCTACTTCCACTCGGACACACACATGTGCGTCTAGGTTCTCGCGGCTGCCCAATCACCACTCGAATATGTCCCTTATTCCCCACCCTCGGCCGCCAAACATCACTTCGGATCACGCCGCTCTAGTGGAAGGTCGTGCTCTCCGTAGTCAATTTCTTTTCTTCTATTTTTCCCAATACTGTTCCTACTATTCTGGCCTCTACCGACTTCTTCTCTACCAAGTAACCATGGTCTGAAGATCGCAGTTGCTAGGGTTTAACTTGCTGAACCCCCTGCGATAGCACTGTGACGACTGCCACGCTCTCACACTTCGGACGCCTCCCTCGCGGCTGCGATTGTGCGTTCGTCCGACTGCCAATTGCCCCTCCAGCCTATTCTCCACTAGCTCTGTAATAAATATACTGTTCCTCGCGCCTGACGCCCCACTTCTCTGCCCACACGGACCCGGTTCTGAAGGTCACAGCGGCAAGGTTCCACCCCCCCCCCTTCCCCTATCAACTTAAGCAACTGTGATACTTTCTTGTATTATTAGCATCTAGTTGTCATGGCAAAAAAGCTTGTCACTCGCGGTTTAGTGGGATATTTTTGACCTTTACAGAGCATCTCACCAGCTTCCTTTTGCCATCGATTGATTGTACAATTTCAATCACCGATATACACGTGATCTGTTTGCTCAGCATGCTATGGTAGTCACATTGTCCATTTGTGTTTCAGCAGTCCGCGTATGTTTTGTCTCCTCCCAATCCCGAGCATGTGGAAGCCATTTGCGTAGAGTTGTACCAAAAAAACTTGCGAACAAATTAACTTACTGGTATTTTAGCAGATTGGAGCCAACCGCTTTGACCAGAACACCAATCTATTAATTATGCTTGGTATTCATCTAGTGGATTCTAGATTTATTGCTTAGAATATCTTGCTTGGGTAGTAAGCTTACTGTATCAAAACTGATGGATCCCATGAGTTGCAGGAGGCTGGACGGGTAACTTGGCCCAGATGTGATTAAACTCACAGGCTCGTTAGTGGGGCCTCATAGGGTTAGAGTGTTTGGTGTTCTCAAGTCTTGCCCTTGCTGTGTTAGGTTCGAATCCCACCGAGGCCGTCGAGTTTTCACAACGAAGTCGAAGGAACACAGGACCTGTTGAGGCCAGAGACTGCCCACTGTCCGCATATTAGTAGGTTACCTAATGGGGACATACGACGCGTCTTTGGACGTTGTGCATTTGACTTACTAGCTCAATGCGCTGTGTAAAAAATTTTCCAAACCAGGCCATTTTATTAATGACAAATTGCATAGTTTGAGTTGAAGAAGACAACTCTGTTAGACAACCTTCGCTGCTCTTTATTCTCGTGGACTACATGTGCATACTTGCACGTGTTCCTCTGGTAGAGGACATGAGGCTAAATGAGAAAGGTTTGCTACACTAACCTGTGTCGAGTTAAAGCCTTATTTCCTATACCCGTAAATCAGATGAGATACGATGCGCATAACCACTTTATTTTCAGAATAACATAAGGTCTTCCTTAACGAAAAAGTGTGGTTTTACAATTCTCTGCATTTTTTCCCAAAACGCCAAAAGTCGATCTTTTGTTTTATGTCATCCGCCATTCCAAGCCTAGGCGAATATTCCACAAATATCCATAAAACTTTTCACACCCAAACAGTTAAGTTACCGAGAAGAAGAGGAAGACTCGATCGCTGGGACAATATGCTTATTCGCCTGACGTTTCGATATCC